CAGGAATCCCAACTAGGTTTACGTTGTCCTTGCTTGCTCCTCCACCCAAATTTTCTGGTCACCATATTAAGGTGTTCAAACAAACCTCTAGGAAGCTTAAAACATGACATAGAGACGTGATCAACACTTCTTTCCCGGTCAAACTTAGATTTTTACTATGATTGGGCTGAACAATGGTAGAGCTTGGTGAAGTGGGCCTACTACTATAGATATTGCCCTTTAAAGGTGATGTTTCCTCGACCTGCACATTTCCGATGACTTCAGGTCTACATGGATGACTTTTCGGATGGTGCTTCTACATGCTACTGGGTTTAACCAAGTTTCCTCCACTACCATGGAGAGTGAGTTGCGGTAACACTTTGCTCACGGGACGCGCCTGTAGATATAGGAGGAAGAAGACTTTGACACCCCCCTCAAGGCTTTGGATGTAATTTTCAATCATTTTTTAGCAACACCGATTACATCGTAGATGCACACTCACACAAGCCTATTGAAGACCGGGTCTAATTTGCAGAGCTTGAAGATTGACGAAGCCACCACGAGTGTCACGCTATTGATGAAAACGTCACCTTTCATTGAAAGGATAATCCGTATTCACGAGACATCAAAGCGTCAAACCTATATCGTTTGATCTTTGTTGGTGTGCTAGGAATACCAGTGTCCTCATAACCACCATGTTAGCACTGTTGGTTCCTACTTTTCAATTTCTGCAAGTGTTTCTTTTTGCGGGTCTGTAAGTGTGTTTTTCAAGGGTCTGGCTACTTAATATGTGCCTTCGGCCTTTAAAAAAATTGCACCGCATTTTAAGTGGCTTCATTACCTGATTAATTACCTGAATTTTTAATGGAGAGGCCTTTAGGTTCCAGGAAATGCTGGATGCATTGCTGCTGCTGCTGCTTTAGTAGTGAAGTTTCTTTTCCTCCTTACGAAGTTAGTAGGCTCCCGCTTTTTCGCTTGTATGATCGGCCGTCTCCATCATTTCATCCCCTGGGCAGGGCAGGGGTAGCTGGGAACGGGGCGGGGTGGGATCTTCAAATACTTTGCTTAAGTGCCTTGCTTTCCTTTCTTCTCCATCAGTGCAATTAGCTTTAGGCCAAAGCGGCTCACAGTGGGGGTGCGTGTCTCCTGCCGTGTGCATGTCATGCATAAATGAATGATCACACGTACTAGTAGCACAGTACAGGAGATTAGACTATGGCAGAGGTGTGCGGTGGGTCCCACGTGCATGCATGCATGCATGGCCATGGCCGGGGCCCGCATGTGGAGTTGTATAATGAGCACGTCAAGCATCTGCTTTGGCGCGTCGCTTGTCACGTGGAAAGCGGACCCGATCCCGGAGCGCGCAACACAACAGTGTGCGTGTGTCTACCCTGCTTTGGAAAACCCTTTGCCGATACAGTATATATATACTACTAGTATACTCTATGTACAGAATCGCATACAGGACTGCGTAGTGTAGATCCGGCCGTGCGTGCATGGAGAATGGGGAGGCGGTCGACCGTACCTGACAATGAAGCAACTACAAGTCCCACGAATTCGAAAAGATAAGGAAAACTACACTACACGGCCTGCCTTCAAGCGACAAAATTGACAAATTTAACCTATGGACGAAATCAAATCACAGAATGAATTGCCCGTGAAACTATTTCACACGGCTGACCTTTTTATGTGACGCCCGACACAAAGGCGCCACATTACATTGTGCAACGCCTCACAGATAGGCGCTGCACGCCTGGCCAGCGTCACACCCGTGTGATCCGAAAATTACTAAATCAGTGTGCAGCACCTAAGAGCTAGGCGCCACACTATAGCTTCTAGGCGTTGCATTAGTGATTGCTTCATTTTGTAGTACAACGCCTATCTCTTAGACTCTGCACAATGACTTAGCAATTTTTAGGCAGTTTGGGGTGCAATGCTGGCCAGGCGTGTAACGCCTATCTGTGAGGCGTTGCACAGTGTAGTGTGGCGTCTTCGTGTCGGGCGTCACACAAAAAAGTCAGCCGTGTGAAATAGTTTCACGAGCAGTTCATTCTGTGATTTGATTTCATCCACAGGTTAAATTTGCCCCTTCAAGCTCGCTCCCTTATCCGAAGATTAAATGCTTGGCGAAACAAGTTTTGTAGTAGTAGTAATGCCTGGCATGCCTCAGCAAGGTTCGGTTATCTGCATGGCTATTTGACTGACTTAATTTATTCTTCTCTTGCTCCTCTTGTTTAACAATGCATGCAATGTTGTTTGTGCTCTGGGTCTGGTTAAGCATTTTGTGCTTCCCGTGGCAAGTCGCCGGCCATGTCGATCGGGTCTATATTCTATTTCAACACGGGCACCATTTCGCATTCATGGAGGAGTGGAGCGGAGCTGGTATACATTTATTCGTGGAAATACGGTGTTTTCATTAGACGCTACTGAGTGGCAAGGTCGTGCAGAAGGTTAAGAATGGAGAGAGAGGCTGTGCATGGCTTATGATCGTGGTCAGTAAAGTATGGGACGCTCCGGGCGCAGTCATTCGATGGCGCGTGCTATGAGACACGTAGGCCCCGTTAATCACTTATTTTACACTGCGGCGCGCCAGGTTAACTGTGCTACTAATGATGCTCAACCGTCCAGGGACCACGAAACGAAGAATACTTTAAACGGGCGCTAGATCGTCGCAATTTGGCACGACCCGAAAGACCCATCTTGTTCGGCCCTTCTGCAAGCACAGACCCGAAAGACCCATCTTGTTCGGCCCTTCTGCAAGCACAGAATCAGAACCAAAAAAACGAGCAATATGTTCGGACAAATGAGCGACGCGGGCGCATGCGGAGACGGATGGTTTTATTGGGGATGGAACAAAACAGAGCGAACTCCGTATCACAAATCCTGCATTGATTGCGAACCAATCTATGGTTGGATGGTTAGAAGGAGACTGTGGTATCTTCAGCCCATCAGGATTCAAATCTTGGTGTTCGCATTTATTTTTGGATTATTTCAGGATTTTCGGCGATGCGAATTCAGAGTAAGAAAGATGTTCCCGTCGACGACGAGGTGACTACGATGACTTTCGTAAATCTCAAGATGATATGGCGGCTCAGTCTTTTGAAGATGTTCATAGGATTAAGGTGTGCGTGTGTACGTTCATAGGAATGGGTGTAATGCGTATATGAGCGCTTTTGTCTGTACTGGTGTTAAAAAAATCCTGCATTGATTCTTGCTACATGGTGGTACTATGGCAGCTCGTGTCGGCAGTAGGCCGACGGAACACAGGACACACAAGTGTCGGTGGCCCATCAGGCGGGCTCTGGCTTGTACCGGGAAGCCGGGAGGTGTCGCCTTCACTCTTCACCGGACAGCGGACACAGACGTGGCAGCTAGGGATCTGCGAACCCGTGCGAGCGGCCGCATCGATCGGGCTGGAATAGGCACGTCTGGCAGCTTGTGCTGCGCGGCCGCATCGGTCGGGCTATGCACGCCGCTGGCTGTCGTGGAGTTCCACGCATTTTTGTTTTAAAAATACGCGGATCCGGATCCGGGCAGGGCAATTCTGCTGGCGCGGTGGCACTACTGACACCAGTGCCGTGAGGGAACCGGAGCTGGACGCCAAGTCGCTGTCTGCTGGTCGACGCTCTTTGGGTTTGCCTCGATATACTACGTCTCAAGGCCCCGGGTCTTGTATAGGAGAGAATTTCTTATTTGACCCTTTTTTAAAGTTTGCTTCTTTTTTGGCCCTTAAAAATATTTTTTTCTTTTTTTGACACTTAAATTTTATTTTGTTCCCTTCATGACACTTCTGTCAGTTTTGACCACCAACACCGTGAAGTGCAACATGAAAGGTCGTTTTTACCCCTCCTTTAGCTCATTGGTAAAAAAAAATCTCCAACGCATCTTCTCTCTCGACTATGGTGTGGTAATTGTACGAGGCAAACGGCGGCGGCGCGAGGCTGAGAGAGTGATGGTGCAATATATCGGAGTGCAAGACCGATGCTGTTGCTGCGGATTGACGGCGGACGGCGGCCTGTGCAGCGCGGCGTCGGGCGGCCATGGAGCAAAGGTGGAGGAGGGTCATGGCGGGGCAGCGGCCTTGGGTCATACGGTATCGGCGTCGGGCGGCCATGCAGGGGCGACGGAGGAGGGCCACAGACCTGCAGCAGCCATAGACGGCCATGATAGCGCAACGGAGAAGGGTCGTGCGTTCTCGGCCTCGACGGCCATGGTGGCGCAGTGGCGGAGAAGGGTCTTCATGCTCGTCGTTGTGCATGTTTTTAGCGCTAGGGCATGCAACGCGTGTGCTTCCGTGTGCGTGTGTGATGTGTGCTAGTCTGTGTGCTGCCGCGTGTCGTGCGTTTGTGATGTGTGCTTGTGTGTGTTGCAGCTCGCGCTGGGTGTGTGTGCTGCCGCTCGCGCAGGGTGCGTGTGCTAGCTGCTGTTGTATTTTAGTTTGTGTGGGTGTGTGACGCGACAAGACGAGCTGCTCACCTGTGTATTCTGGGAGCCGAGTTCTTGACGTAGAGACATCAGGGAGCAGCGCCGAACGCGGACTCTGTCTTGGCGGCCGCTGGCCACGCCGAGGGATCCGAAGATGTGATATATGAACTCGAGCATGATTTGATTCATATCCGTTACGCGGTGGTAAAATTGTAGTTTTTTTTTTCATTTGCTCATGTAGTCAAGACAGAACATATCACATTACCACTGCTTTTGACTTGTAAAAAATAATTTTGGTCACATAATACACCAGGGGTAAAACGGTATTTTCACGTTAAACGTAACATTGTGAAGTGCCAAAACTGAAGGAAGTGTCATGAAGGGAACAAAATGAAAATTGAGTGTCAAAAAGGGAAAAATATATTTTTGAGGGTCAAAAAGGGAAGCAAATTTTAAGAAAGGGTCAAATAAAGAATTCTCTTCTTGTATAGAGGGACCATTTTCTGGGCTTGGCTCCACGGTGCCGACTCCTTTCTCATCGCTGTTGGCGGGAAAATATACAGGTGTCATTGCGGCCAGTGGGGATAGAATGGCAAGAGCGAGTTAGCAAAAGTGAAAGGAAAATGGTTGGCGGAAATATGTGCCGGAGCTCTTCAAGATTACGACCAAGGAAGCACGGGACGGTGCGTGAGGAATCGAGCGAGGATAACTGGATTAGGAAGGCTGTCAAACTTCACGCAATTGGTCGATTGGGGAGTGCGGTGAGCAGTGGAGCTGGATCCTCCGGATTCGCCTTCTCTTGGACAAGAATGACGCCTTCTTTTCGAACTAGACATGAGTGGAATATAAATTCTTTTGTGTAGCCTTATATATATATATATAAAGAGAGCTACGTCTCTGATTTCTGTTAAAAGAAACTACAGTGTCTTTACAGCTACTAGAACAGAAAAAGCCTTATGCTCTTAAGCTGCCAGTTCCATATACCAGCAAAAACAAAAGCTGTTAATTCCATAGCTCTCACTACAACTTCG